GCCTCCATACTTATATGAAAGTGTTGGACATCCCATTCCAAACCCATGGTCATTAAGATGGAGTTGGCCCCCTTTGTGGCTGTAATATTCTCTATTATAATGAATTGGAACGCCAATTGTGAGCCAGGCCTTCTCATCTAACATCAGTACCTGACCTCACAAATGGAACACAAATTCCCACAGATATTCCCAAATGGAAAAAATCCAGAATGGGATGTCCAACACTCTCATAAAGGAATGAGAGTGTTGGACATCCCATTACAAAACCGTGGCCATAAATACAAAGATGGTCCCCTTCTTTGCAGCTATAACTGCCTTCATTACTAAATGAGAGGGTTGGACATCCCATTCTGGGAATATTTCCCACAAGACTTGGGAATATATGTGGGAATTTGTGTCCCATTTGTGAGGTCAGGTACTGATGTTGGATGAGAATACCTGGATCACAATCTACAATTCATCCCAAAGGTGCTCAGTAGGTTTGAGGTCGGGACTCTGTGCAGGACATTCGAGTTCCTTCACAACAAACTGATCACACCATATCTTTATGGAGCTGGCTTTGTACACAGGAGACAGTCATGGTGGAGCAGAAAAGGCTCTTCACCAAACCACAAGGTTGGAAGAGCAGAGTTGTTCGAAATGTCTAAACCCGAGGACAAAAATGTTACATACTGCAGCTTTCTAGTCCCTAAATGGATTTCTTTGTATCTGTGGATGGAGAAATGGTTGTCACCCAGCCTGGACTGTTTAGAGGTGTTGGGATCTTATGACAGCTCAGAAATCAAGGGTCTTGGAAGGAGCTCACTGGCTCTGGTTCAGCAGCTCCAGAAAAGACAGGTTCTCCTCAACAGATAACTGGAAGACTCAAAAAATGGAGACTGGGCACCAAACAAAACAGGTATCAGAATATCAGAATCCATTAAAAAGTTTTTATTTCCTCACAATTTAACCAAACACGTTTGAGCCCCAACCCCCGCCCTCCTCTGGGCTTGGAACAATAAAATGAAGGCTTGAGGACTCAAACATAGCAATGGCCAGGGAGATCTTTGTTCCTTCTCATTATTGATTTCCTGGTTTGCGCATTTTATTCCAGCTTCAAATACAAACCAAACCAATTTAGATTTCTTTGCCGCCCCTAACACCAGCTTAGAGTTACATCCCGCAGGTACTGCGCCATCCTATCGGCCCGACGCCACTCAGACTTTGCTTTATTTATGTCTTACCGGAGAGATAGTATCTGAGAGCGAACACTTTACTCCGGTGGAATTCTCCATTATTAATAGTTAAAAAGTCCTTAGATGACCGCAAGGCTTCCAAGTTTTACTTTTACGCTGAGATAAATCTGTGACAGGTTAACGTAGATGTAAATCCTAAGTCTCGATGGCCGTCATGGACGTGATAGATGTCTGATTTAGGGGGAAGGCGCTCCGGTTTACCTTATAATAATTAAATGATGAATATTGTCCCCCTGATAAGTCTGACTCAAATGGGGGAGGCTGCTTCAAGCCAACCTACATTTTACGCACAAATTCCAAGAGTTTCTCCTACGGTTCCTCACCGGGCAGCCATCAAACAATGAACATATGAATCATCTTTGTTCCAAAAACTAATTCTCAGCACAAGCAGGTTAAATAAACAGTTTAAAATAGACTTGATGTGTTATGGAGAGTGGCAAAAGGAATTTCCCTTGAGTGATTAGCTTGTGCGGAGAGGCTTTCCACGTTAACCCTTTCACTGAAGCCTAGATGTCCAGACCACATTAAGCTGCGGCGACATGCTACGGTGACATGGACCATAACCCTATGACCAGACTAGCTTGCCAAGATAAATAATTGCCCATGATGCACATTCCAAAGGTAAGCGTGAAGTTAGTTACTCTTGATGCACATTCCGGTGGGCCATGGGGGGAGCGGGGTTCCGGGACTCATGGTGGATTGGTGGATGTTCTAGCTTCCGGGGTAGGAGGAACGGGGGCGGATTATGGCACACAACATCCCACCCAGCTTACTGACATCCCTGCATGCCAGGAGCTGCCTACAACACCAGCCAGAGCATTCCGCATAAATTACTGGCAACTATTGACATCAGTGAGCTGGGTGGGATGCCATCCAGAGAGTCACAGGTTGGTATGAGCTCTGAGGAACCTGGTGCCCTCTGGCCAGAAAGGGGGTGGCAGGCACACCTGTCGCCTCTCCCCCCGCGTGACCCAATGAGATTCTGCTTGAGGCAACCGCCTCATTATAGGGACGGCCCTGATCTCAAGTCATAAAAGATGAAGGTTTTCAGGATCCTTCATTCAATCGTATAATGGATGAAGAAGAAAAGTAACGGGTGTCCAAATGTGTGTGTGTGTGTGGGGGAGAGAGGGAGAGATTGAGAGAGAGAGAGTGTTTTTTTTAATATTGTAATTGTATCTGAAAATTACATTATGAACCAGAGGCCATCTACAGGCTTAACGGTCATTTTTAGTAGAAGAACCTCCAGCCTGCACCACCCTAGACTCACAGGAGAATGTTGTAGAAAACATTGCCACATCGATAATTGGTGCTGTTCACTGCAGCATTCAGGATGGAGGAGGAAGAAGACCCCCATGACGTCACATGACTGGACTGAAAAAGGTATGTATGTTAAAAGATAGTGGTGCAGAGAGAAGCTCCAATGGAGTGTTGGGCAACATGGAGTTGAGCTTTAAAAGCCACAGCAACACCAACAACGGAGATGAGCAAACTTCTCTAAAAGTGTGCTCGGTTTTCAGGAAAACATTTTTTTAACAATTGCCAACCGCCTACTGACTTCAAAAAAGTCCCTTTGATGTCCATATAAACCCGGCCCCAAGAAGAGAGTATTACACAGCAGCAAATTATACAAACATTCGACAGAAGGGATTGGCAGCCCTGCCTGATGAGGGGAAAAAAAACAGCCTGAGACATTTTCTTTAAAAATTCTTCCTGAAATACTAAGATAGAAGAGTCCCGGTGGGACTGGCAGTCAAGCTAGGTAAGAGTGGGTCTTGGTCGGTTTTTCAGTAAATCTAGGGAAGGGTGGGCCTGTTGGGACTGGCAGTCAGCTAGGGAAGGGTGGGAACTGGTGGGACTGGCAGTCAATCTATGGAAGGATGGGCCTGTTGGGACTGGCAGTCAAGCTAGGGAAGGATGGGCCTGTTGGGACTGGCAGTCAGCTAGAGAAGGGTGGAGCCTGGTGGGACTGCCAGTCAAGCTAGTGAAGGGTGAGGCTTGGTGGGAATGGCAGTCAAGCTAGAGAAGGGTGGGGCCTGGTGGGGCTGGTAGTCAAGCTAGGAAAGGGTGGGACCTTGTGGGACCAGCAGTCAAACTAGGGAAGTGCGAGACCCGGTGGGGCTTATAGTCATGCTAGGGAAGGATGAGGCGGGTTGGAACTGGCAGTCACGCTAAAGAAGAGTGGGGTTTGGCGGCACTGGCAGTCATGTTAGGGAAGGATGAGGCCTCGTGGGACTGGTAGTCAAGCTAGGGAAGGATGAGGCCTGGTGGGACTGCCAGTCATCCAAGGGGAGGATGTGGCCTGGTGGGACTGGCAGTCAAGATAGGGAAGGATGAGGCATGGTAGGACTGGCAGTCATGCTAGGGAAGGATGGGGCCTGGTGGGACTGGGTGGCAGTCAAGCTAGGGAAGGATGAGGCCTCGTGGGACTGCCAGTCATGCAAGGGGAGGATGTGGCCTGGTGGGACTGGCAGTCAAAATAGGGAAGGATGAGGCATGGTAAGACTGGCAGTCATGCTAGGGAAGGATGGGGCCTGGTGGGACTGGCAGTCGATGGGTGCTCAGGGAACGGCAGAAGCAGATATAAAGCAGAAGCAGTCTTCAGAGCAGACTCTGGTCCTTTTCTTGCAGAAGACTTTTGGAAATTCCACCTACTAAAAATAACATTAAAACTCCGGTTCCACCATTCAAATCCATGAAATCTGGTCTGAATATAAAATATTTGGGATCAACTCCAACCATCGACTATGCATGAGCCGCTCCGTGTCAGCACAGTCCCTGACAGTCTGATGATCAGGGCTCTGTCCGGGACCATCCCACAGGTCAGAATTGTTCATTTCTGTTTATTTTTCCATCCAGCACTGGGCCGCACATGGCTGACATTTCAATTCGTCTTCATACTGCGTGAACTTTGACCTCAGCCTGGTGACATTTCTGTGGCAAAGAACCGAGCCAAAATTCGAAAATGTACAGAGGTAGTAAAATATTTAATATGACGTGTGCCAGGAGGACGCGTGTTTCCTCGCATTTACACGGATAACTGTATTGTGTATGTTCAACGTGTGAGATCATTTGACACGTTGGTGAATTAATGTCTAAGAAAAGGTGAGGTTTGGTGGGACTGGCAGTCAAGCTAGAGAAGGATGGGGGCTGGTGGGACTGGCAGTCAAGGTAGGGAAGGATGGGGGCTGGTGGGACTGACAGTCAAGGTAGGGAAGGATGGGGGCTGGTGGGACTGGCAGTCAAGCTAGGGAAGGATGGTGGCTGGTGGGACTGGCAGTCAAGCTAGAGAAGGATGGGGGCTGGTGGGACTGGCAGTCAAGGTAGGGAAGGATGGGGGCTGATGGGACTGGCAGTCAAGCTAGGGAAGGATGGGGGCAGGTGGGACTGGCAGTCAAGATAGGGAAGGATGAGGCATGGTAGGACTGGCAGTCATGCTAGGGAAGGATGGGGCCAGTATGGAGACTTTTTATTTTATCCTGAAGTTTGCCTTTCAGTAGATTTTGTTACATTTTGGGTAAAATAGAAAACGACGTATATGGCGCGGTTTGGCAACGCTCACCCACCATACTGTCTCTATGGAGGGACACCACTGATACCTTAGAACAGTTTCCCATCTCCTCAGCATTAGGGGGAGGGATTCCATAGCTCCGGGATGTAAGCCGGTCAGGGCTGATAACACTGCTGAAGACTGCAGGATGCACCGGGCAGCACTAGATTTCTGGCAGGACCAACAGGTATGTAATAAATCAAATGCTACCCTACCTTCCGCTGCTCTCTTGAAGAAGACTTTGCAGCTGCCACATGTCAGCGCACCGTAGTGGCACCCGGACGCCTCGTCTCCGCAGATCAAGCAGGTTTTCTGTGGCGGGAAGTAATAGTCGATGGGTAAAAGGTGTTCCCTGCCCCCCTCCATCCTAGGAAGAAAAAGCAAAGAGAACAATTAGAGTCATGCTGAGTATTGATTCTGACTCCTGTCATTCCCTGGACAGCAGAGCTCAGAGGGGTGGAGACAGAAGCAGCACGAGAAGCCAATCAGGTGTGCTGCAGTACAAGGAGCATTCTGCGAGGGGGAGAGAGCAGAGGGATAACCTAATCAAGTCAATATAGGAAGCACTCAACACCACCCCCAGAGGGGTGACAATCGGTGACAAAGGTCAATCTTGGTCACTAAACACCACAATGTGTCAGAACATAACATACAGCCAAGATGGTTTGGGGGCCACTGCAGTGTCCCCTTTATTGGGGCTATAAATAAAAAACATATAAAATGACATATCAGATAAATAAATGTTATTATTATTATTATTATTAGTACTACAATAAAATACAACTTAGACTATCAGATGCAATACAATGATGAATAATAATAATACATATATCATTTTTTTGCATTTGATATTCTAAAAAAAAAAGGGAAAGAAAGATACAACTTAGACCATCGAGTAAAAAAAGAACTAAAACTAAAAATACATAAAAAATAATACTATATACTGTGTGTGTGTGTATATATATATATATATA